TATGTATTTTATATTTGTCCACCAAACACACTGCAGTAATGAATTGGATGAGAAAAAATTCCTTCTTACCTAAATTACGCTTTACCTGAGTTAAATTGACAATTTTTTATATTTTTTTTCAATTGGGGGGAATTTCCCTACTTTCCGCACATTGTATTTTTGTTAAATTTCAATATGTATTTTATATTTGTCCACCACATACACTGTATCAATGAATTGGATGAGAAAATATTCTTTCCTGCATAAATTACGTTTTAACTGAGTTAAATTGACGATTTCTTAAAACTTTTCCTTAAATTGGGGGGTATTTCCCAACTTTCCGCATGGTAGAATTTTTTTTAAATTCAATATGTGTTTTATACATCTTCATCAAATACCCTGTATTAATGAATAGGATGAGAAAAAAATTATTTCTTGCATAAATGGGGTATTTCCTGCGCTCCCGAAAGCGTACAATCTAGATTCTAAAGCTAAACCTATCCTGATACACCTACTATTTTCAGGTGGTGCTATAGGGAGACAAAGTGCGGTCTTAGGGATAAAGACTGTTCACCCTAATATTCAAAGTTCGATTCCCACGTTATTAATTTCACGTGTTATGGAATGTGACTCCAATCTGGATTCCCTCAGACGATAATAAGCACACGATGATGATTGTCGAATTGTTGTATATTATTGAAAAGATGCACGATCCAAATTCCAAATACGGATAAAATTGTATACACTTAATTCCTAATGCAGTAAGATTACGGTCAGATCCAAGTCATATATCGAGTGAACAAGAAAACACAATATTATAGAGCATTCTCGGCAGACCGGAAACGATACGTTATCAAATTGGTCGAAACGAGAAAGGCAATACATGGAGCGAATGCATTATCGCTGTTGCGAAACATAATGCGGCCTAGTTTGTGAAATATTACATGCTATTAATATGAAAGGGTAAAATACATTATAATCCATAGTTACACAATGCACATTCGCTACACAATTCCCCCTCGACAGTAAAAAAATTAACTTGGTAATTTTTTAAATTTTGTAGTCCGGTCGCCGAGAGATGAAAGTCTAAAAACAAAAACACGAATCAATAAAAGGTACGATATGATGAATAATGGCTAAGGTATACGAGAGAATATACGTCGTTTACGAGGGCACGAAAATACGAGAGAGAAGAAAAAAAATCAAAATACAAGAAAAAAAAAATTCAAAGGGTCTCCGTGGTGCTTTGAAATGTTTAACATTTGAAAATAAAATTGTAACGATACATTGAAACAAAATGGCGACGATGTACCGGAAGGGACACCCTAAAATGTAAAACGGTTCTGATGTTTAATGTAGAGACTGAGAATGGAAAAAAAATGGCGGGTTCGTTCTAAAAATTGCATTGAAGTTGATTAGATGTTTAAGGTCGTAAAATTGATGTTAGAGGTAACTTGGAAAAAATAATAAGGAAGAAAAATCCTGAAAATTGAATAATGAGTGATTTGAAGAATTATTGAACCATCGAATCCTTGAGATTGAACCTGAATCAAATTCGGTATGAAGTAAAAGAACTCATGATATCTAAAAACAACAATTGGTTAGTAACAAGTAAATACACACAAAAGAAATGAGAATACGCAAAATTTTTTTATTTTGATGGTTTTGTAATATTTATATTTTTATAGTAAGGTGTTTTTATGTTTATGATGGATAATAATAAGAGAAAAGATAATAAAATACAAAACGATTAAATTGATAAAATGAAAATAAGTAATAACGAAGCGATACATTGCGAGTTACACACCATATACCATTCGCAACGTGCGTCGAAATCGAGTTTACTTAATAGGGTGTGGATAATTCGAAAGGTTGTTACGGTCAAACTTTTGATTCCATTTGAGCTTGGGTGCTCGCATCTGAGAAGTTGCAAGCACTTTCTATATCTTCCGCGTCAATTTCGACATCGGATATCTGGTGTATTTCTTCTTGTTCGTCGAATTGTACTACGGGTTGTCGTTGAATATTGAGAAGTCGTTGTATCGGCTGGAACAATCCATTTGTTAATGCATTGCGAATTGTAACTCGGCAGTTTGGCAAACTTTGAAAAATGAAATATCCTATGTACAGGAAAGAGAGAATCGGTATAACAAATAATGCGTAAATAAGGCAAAATCCTATGACGTAATTCCATGCTGAGCTCCTAACTCGCAAGAGCCAGGCAAATATGTTGCCGTTGACGGCTTTTTGAATACCGTCTTCCAGTGTAGTGATATCAATAGTTTCTGCAGAGGTTCGTCCTCCTTTGTAATCGTCATTCAGTTTGTTGAGTTCCGAAATTGTAACTAAAAGGTCGTCCATGCTTGTAGCGGAAATTTCCTCTTCATTTGCTAAAATTTCTTCGAGAAATGAGCTGTAATCTTGTGTAGATGGGTCGTCAAAGGTTGTATACAGTGAGGGGTATACTTCTTTGACATTTTCGTTTTTGGATACTAGTGAATAATTGAAATACTTGTAGTAGCTGCCATTGATTTTGAAAATTTTCGTTTGTCCAAATCGTGGTGATTCAGTCAGTAATATTTGATTGAAAACAACGTTACTGGCGTGGATTTGTCCAAGTTCTGTAGATCTGTTAGGCAAGGTATATGCAACAATCGGACGTGTTGCATACAAGTTGTTGAAGAAAAGTGTTGGTAAAACTGTAAAATTAGCGGAAACACAATGAAGTTTGACAAGAACATCTCCATGAGCAATTGCATGAACTTCACGTCTTAAAATTGCAGATAATATTTGAGAGGGGTACAATTGTGCTAGTGGTTTCAATAAATGGGAGATCATTGATTCGACACGACATTCCAATTCGTGTATTCTGTCGTAGAGTTCGGCGAATAATTCAGAGTCGTGATCGGACGACTGTTGTACAATCGAAACGACTTTTGAAAACCAGGTACTGGTGACGTCATGCCATGAAGAGGCAACGCCTTTATGACGTAATCTGACAATGTCTTCGCAGTTGTCATTTACGTTTAAAACCAAGCCATTGTATGTACAATAGACTTTGTTTGATTCAAAGTGCGGTCTTAGGGATAAAGACTGTTCACCCTAATATTCAAAGTTCGATTCCCACGTTATTAATTTCACGTGTTATGGAATGTGACTCCAATCTGGATTCCCTCAGACGATAATAAGCACACGATGATGATTGTCGAATTGTTGTATATTATTGAAAAGATGCACGATCCAAATTCCAAATACGGATAAAATTGTATACACTTAATTCCTAATGCAGTAAGATTACGGTCCGATCCAAGTCATATATCGAGTGAACAAGAAAACACAATATTATAGAGCATTCTCGGCAGACCGGAAACGATACGTTATCAAATTGGTCGAAACGAGAAAGGCAATACATGGAGCGAATGCATTATCGCTGTTGCGAAACATAATGCGGGCTAGTTTGTGAAATATTACATGCTATTAATATGAAAGGGTAAAATACATTATAATCCATAGTTACACAATGCACATTCGCTACAGTGCGTCATCTTTGTGCTCATATTTCGGGAGTACCGAATTTCCCTACTTTCCGCACGGTGGATTTTTTTAAATTTTGATATGTATTTTATACTTGTCCACCAAATACACTGTATCAATGAATTGGATGAGAAAATATTCTTTCTTGCATAAATTACGCTTTAAGTAAGTTAATTAGACTATTTCTTAAATATTTTCATCAAATTGGGAGCATTTCCCTATTTTCCGCACGGTGGAATTTTTTTAAAATTCGCTATGTGTTTTATATATTTTCACCAAATATACTGTATCAATGAATGGGATTAGAAAATATTCCTTCTTATCTAAATTACGCTTTAACTGTGTTAAATTGACGATTTCTTATATTTTTTTCTTTAATTGGGGGGAATTTCCCTACTTTCCGCACGGTGGATTTTTTTTAAATTTCAAAATGTATTTTATATTTTTCCACCAAACACACTGCATTAATGAATTAGATGAGAAAAAATTCCTTCTTACCTAAATTACGCTTTAACTGAGTCAAATAGACGATTTCTTATATTTTCTTCTTCAATTGAGGGGAATTTCCCTACTTTCCGCACGGTGGATTTTTTTTAAATTCTAATAGGTATTTTATATTTGTCCACCAAACACACTGCATTAATGAATTGGATGAGAAAAAATCCTTCTTGCCTAAATTACGCTTTAACTGAGTCAAATTGACGATTTCTTATATTTTTTTCTTCAATTGGGGGGAATTTCCCTACTTTCCGCACGGTGGATTATTTTTAAATTTTAATATGTATTGTATATTTGTCCACCAAATACACTGTATTAATGAATTGGATGAGAAAATATTATTTCCTGCATAAATTACGCTTTTAACTGAGTTATATTGACGATTTCTTAAAAATTTTCCTTAAATTGGGGGGTATTTCCCAACTTTCCGCATGGTGGAATTTTTTTAAAATTTAATATTTGTTTTATATATTTTCATCAAATACACTGTATTAATGAATTGCATGAGAAAAAAATATTTCTTGTATAAATTACGCTTCAACTCAGTTAAGTTTTAGATTTTGTCGATAAATGAGCTTCTGAGCAATAATTCATTTTACCGAGGAAAAAATGTGTTGTTTCAATCATTTTTGTTTTTTATTATGTTTCAGGTCTGTCGTCAGTTTCTAAAAGGGAGAATCGCCTAATTTTTTGCTTCAATGTAGCCGCAATTAAGGGAATTCAATTCACCACACTTCAATTAAATTCACAAAACTTTGACAGTGTCTTTGACGAATTTGTACAATCATTTGTTTCTTTGATTGATCGACATGCCCCTTTACAACCACTTTCACGTCGTCAGAAAAGGATAAGACTAAAACCCTGGCTAACTAAAGGATTGATTACTTGTATTCGACGCAAAAATAAATTATTCAAATCTCATTTTTTGAGGGGTAACAGCTCTCAATGCTCGTACTTTAAAAATTATCGGAATGTTCTGACAAGAACTGTAGATAGAGCAAAGCAAATTTATTACCAAAACCTTATTGCCCAAAACAGAGGCAACCCGAGATCGACATGGCAAATAGTTAACCAAATTACGCACACGCATAATAAATCAAGACAAAAAGTTAAGGAAATTTATCTGAAAAATGGCAGTATCACCAAAGATGACTTTTCGATATCAACTGAATTTAATAAGTACTTCTCAACCATAGGGTCCAGCCTCTCAGAAAAGTTTTCTAATGATTCGGGTAACTTCAAACAACTTCTTCATAATCCTCTGAGCCAGTCTATATTTTTGAGTCCGACTACTTCTAATGAATTGTTGGTAGAAATTCAAAATTTGAAGGATAGGAAGGCAGTTGGGCCAGATAATATTCCAGCGCGCTTTCTTAAATTAGTTGCTGACCTCATCGCTCCATGTCTGACAGAGTTCTTCAATTGCTCACTCTCTCTCGGCATATTTCCTTCTTCTCTCAAAATTGCAAGAGTAATTCCTCTTCTTAAATCTGGAAATAAAAAACTCGTGTCAAATTATAGACCGATATCAATCCTTTCAACGATTGATAAAATTTTTGAACGCCTGATTCATAAGAGGCTTACTAGTTTTTTCAATAAATATGATGTCATAAATAAATCTCAATTCGGTTTTCAAAACAGTCATTCCACATCGCATGCTATTTTAGACACTACATCATTTATCAATGATAGACTAGAAAAGAAAGAGTATGTTAGTGCAACTTTTTTAGACTTAAAAAAAGCTTTCGATACTGTAAATCATGACATCCTGATTTGCAAGTTGAAACATTATGGTATTAGGGGTATAGCAAATAAACTCATTTCTAGTTACTTAAGCGGTCGATCACAGTATGTTCAAGTAGGTTCTTATTGTTCTCCTCCCTTACCAGTGACTCATGGAGTTCCACAAGGTAGCTGTTTGGGTCCATTGTTATTTTTAGTATATGTTAATGACATAACTCATTGTTCTTCATTATTCTCGAAATTATTTGCAGATGATACCAATCTCCTTGACAGTGACAAATCCTGTGCAGCCCTTGAATTAAGGGTGAACACTGAAATTGCTAAAGTAGCAAACTGGATGCGATCAAACAAATTAACAATAAACATAAATAAATCTAAAACTATGTTAATATCACCTAAAAGTAAAGCACAAAATGGTTTAGTAGTCCAAATTGATGACACAGAACTTGAAAATGTAAATTTTTATAAATATCTGGGTATTCATATTGATAACAAAATGAAGTGGGACATTCAAATATCCAAACTGGCTGTTAAACTATTCAAGTCAGTTGGGATACTATATAGACTTCGGCGATTTGCTTCACTCACAACATTACGTATGGTCTACCACTCCTTATTTCAGTCACACATTCAATATGGCATTGTTGCATGGGGCTTGGCTGATAAAAATTTATTACGTAATATTGAAATTATGCAGAATCGAGCAATTCGCGCTATCTCCAATGTCGGTTATCGCACTCATCTGACTCCTATTTACCACAGTATTCGCATAATTAAAATGGTGGATATGCATAAATTCGAAGTGCTAAAAATAATGCACCAACATCACAACAAAAAACTCCCTCCTGCATTCACTAATTATTTTATGAAGCAGAGTGATGTTCATTCATATGGAACAAGGTCCTCGACCAGTTGCTCATATTTTCTGAATCGTTTTTCTACCAAACTAACCCAACGCTCAATCAAGTTCATTGGAGTAAAGTTATGGAATTTGGGACAACACTAAAAGGCTGAAGGAGGAAACGGATGAAGTGGAGGGAAAACGGAAGTTGAAGTGTTCCCAAAGGTTAAAAATTAAAAAACACTAAAAGGCTGAACACTAAAAGGAAGAAGTGGATGAAATTTCTTCCGACGGGTAGTTAGGTGGCTGAAGTCACTAAAAAGCTGAACACTAAAAGGAAGAAGTGGATGAAATTTCTTCCGACGAATAATGAGGTGGTTGAAGTCACTAAAAAGCTGAACACTAAAAGGAAGAAGTGGATGAAATTTCTTCCGACGAATAATGAGGTGGTTGAAGTCACTAAAAAGCTGAACACTAAAAGGAAGAAGTGGATGAAATTTCTTCCGACGAATAATGAGGTGGTTGAAGTCACTAAAAAGCTGAACACTAAAAGGAAGAAGTGGATGAAATTTTTTCCGACGAATAATGAGGTGGTTGAAGTCACTAAAAAGCTGAACACTAAAAGGAAGAAGTGGATGAAATTTCTTCCGACGAATAATGAGGTGGTTGAAGTCACTAAAAAGCTGAACACTAAAAGGAAGAAGTGGATGAAATTTCTTCCGACGAATAATGAGGTGGTTGAAGTCACTAAAAAGCTGAACACTAAAAGGAAGAAGTGGATGAAATTTCTTCCGACGAATAATGAGGTGGTTGAAGTCACTAAAAAGCTGAACACTAAAAGGAAGAAGTGGATGAAATTTCTTCCGACGAATAATGAGGTGGTTGAAGTCACTAAAAAGCTGAACACTAAAAGGAAGAAGTGGATGAAATTTCTTCCGACGAATAATGAGGTGGTTGAAGTCACTAAAAAGCTGAACACTAAAAGAAGAAGTGGATGAAATTTTTCCGACGAATAATGAGGTGGTTGAAGTCACTAAAAAGCTGAACACTAAAAGGAAGAAGTGGATGAAATTTCTTCCGACGAATAATGAGGTGGTTGAAGTCACTAAAAAGCTGAACACTAAAAGGAAGAAGTGGATGAAATTTCTTCCGACGAATAATGAGGTGGTTGAAGTCACTAAAAAGCTGAACACTAAAAGGAAGAAGTGGATGAAATTTCTTCCGACGAATAATGAGGTGGTTGAAGTCACTAAAAAGCTGAACACTAAAAGGAAGAAGTGGATGAAATTTCTTCCGACGAATAATGAGGTGGTTGAAGTCACTAAAAAGCTGAACACTAAAAGGAAGAAGTGGATGAAATTTCTTCCGACGAATAATGAGGTGGTTGAAGTCACTAAAAAGCTGAACACTAAAAGGAAGAAGTGGATGAAATTTCTTCCGACGAATAATGAGGTGGTTGAAGTCACTAAAAAGCTGAACACTAAAAGGAAGAAGTGGATGAAATTTCTTCCGACGAATAATGAGGTGGTTGAAGTCACTAAAAAGCTGAACACTAAAAGGAAGAAGTGGATGAAATTTCTTCCGACGAATAATGAGGTGGTTGAAGTCACTAAAAAGCTGAACACTAAAAGGAAGAAGTGGATGAAATTTCTTCCGACGAATAATGAGGTGGTTGAAGTCACTAAAAAGCTGAACACTAAAAGGAAGAAGTGGATGAAATTTTTTCCGACGAATAATGAGGTGGTTGAAGTCACTAAAAAGCTGAACACTAAAAGGAAGAAGTGGATGAAATTTCTTCCGACGAATAATGAGGTGGTTGAAGTCACTAAAAAGCTGAACACTAAAAGGAAGAAGTGGATGAAATTTCTTCCGACGAATAATGAGGTGGTTGAAGTCACTAAAAAGCTGAACACTAAAAGGAAGAAGTGGATGAAATTTCTTCCGACGAATAATGAGGTGGTTAAAGTCACTAAAAAGCTGAACACTAAAAGGAAGAAGTGGATGAAATTTCTTCCGACGAATAATGAGGTGGTTGAAGTCACTAAAAAGCTGAACACTAAAAGGAAGAAGTGGATGAAATTTCTTCCGACGAATAATGAGGTGGTTGAAGTCACTAAAAAGCTGAACACTAAAAGGGAGAAGTGGATAAAAAAAATTCCGACGAATAATGAGGTGGTTGAAGTCACTAAAAACTGTACACTAAAAGGAAGAAGTGAATAAAGTTTCTTCCGACGAATAATGAGGTGGTTGAAGTCACTAAAAAGATGAACAGTAAAAGGAAGAAGTGAATGAAATTTCTTCCGGCGAATAATGAGGTGGTTGAAGTCACTAAAAAGATGAACACTAAAAGGAAGAAGTGGATGAAATTTCTTCCGATGGATAGTGAGGAATACTTGAAAATTTAATATATTAGGAATTGGGTAATTTAATGTTTGTTCTGTTCGTATTTATGAGACAATGTCCTCGTGGATTCGTTTTTTGTTAATTTTTTATATGTTATGCTCAGTTCGAGCCTGGCGAATTGAAGGCCATGACATTCTCGTTATATTCTTTTTAATTTTGATGTAATGTGCAAACAAATTAATATATATATATTTTCATATCTAGCTGTTCTAGATCAACAAACCTTGTAATTTATAATATGTTTGTGGCCCACCTCAAAATGCCTCTGAGGCTTACCAGTGGCCCATGGCCCATTGGTTGAGAACCAGTGGTCTAACAGGACTTCGATTTGACTAATACATCATTATTCAAAGTCTTCGTGCGTGAACTGCTTGCAAAATTTATAAAAACAGATATTAAGTTCAAGGAATGAAATACGGAATCAAAAATAAATTATATTCGGGCACAATATCACGGCAATCTATTATTAATCACGGCAATTATCACGGCAATTATTATTAATTTTTGATTCCTATTTTCGTATTTACAAAATACAACGGCGATCCATGGACTTAAAATGTGTGGTAAACTGCCCGATTATAATTAATTCTTGATACATATTTTCGTATTTATAAAATAATAAAAGATATATATGCGGACATTGAAGTGCCCGAATATAAAAAAAATCCATTCGTATTTACGTACTCACGAAAAAATTGTCGCAAGTCAGAAATATAATTTATACTTTATCCCGCTTTTTGGCAAATAATTTGGATAATGGTTGGTATTTAAAAGTATGGACTTTTACTAGGATGATTTTGTGTTGCGCAAAATGTTCAAATCTATGACCGATAGCACTATTTTAAATGCTTGCCGTATTAATTTAATTCTGATAACGTAACTCATGGTATATAAAAATATATCGCAGTAATCTGCAAACATGAAATGCATGGTAATATAGTCATGTTGTAGATAACAGTTATTCCATTGTTTATTGTATGCAAATTCCTTCATATACTATAGATCAGTAGTCGGCAACCACCGGGCCGCGGCCCATCGCCGGTCTGCGGAAAGGTCACTACCGGTCCGCAGAAAGGTGACATGAAAACGTACAATGCCATTGTTATCTTCATGTGAGGTTGGGTTTTAAAATGGCAATTACAAAAACGAAAGATCGAAGTGGGTTTAACGTAAGAAATACGTTACGTGAATAGTATCACCTTCGTTTTTGAATGTATTGTCAACATACATTTTCTAACGCATATTATTTATTACATTAGATTAGTTCGTTTGTATAAAGGTGGTCCGCCAAAATTTTGGTCAGGCTTTACCGGTCCGTTACTGAAAAAAGGTTGCCGGCCACTGCTATAGATCATTGATTTTCAACCGGTGTTCCGCGGAACACCGGTGTTCCGCGAGAGACCTCCGGGTGTTCCGCAGAAAATTGCTTTTTTGCAGTATTATGACGTCATAACTGATATTTAACCGTCCGATGGATTTATATAAATTTCACAAAGCGCGGTTCACAACCGCTTCCAATCTTGCTATCATTTTCCACTACCTATCTTTGCGAAATGAGTTTTTAAGCATGGCCGGTCTAGGGCTGTGCAAAATATTCGAATAGCGAATACAATATTAAAATATTCGAATGCCATTTTACTATTCGTATGTACAATACCACATAATCTGTACCGCTTTGCTTGGGCACGGAATTCACGCCGGTAAATCGATCGCTTGGATTACGCGAGAATTCACCCTCGGCTTCCACTGTTATTATGCAAAAAGCGTGCCGACACTAGTCCGTAAATGTAGAAACGTCAACCCAAATAAGATATCTAAAATAAAGTTACCAGATTTTAAAGATGTTATTAGCCTCCGCATGCATGACCCGAATAGAAAATCATTTTCGGAAATTAAGAGTTACAAAGACGTTTTTTTTGGAGTGTTGAATTTGCAAATTCCGTAAATAAAATTATGAATTTCCCGGTAACGATATTAGCTATGATATTGGTCGGGGTATTGATTTGTTGTAAAATAAATGGTGACTTGAGGTGATTAATTATAATTAGCGTCTTCCCTTCTACTAGGTACGAAAAGCACTTGGGCACAAAATTGTTTACAATTTTTTTGGTATCAGGTCGCGTATGTAAAATATCGTTCAAGAGTGCTGCCAAACGACAACGTAGAAATGCCTTTATTTCAGATTTTAAATCAACATTCTTTATTCACGCAATCACAGCTTCACAGATTTATCTAATCACAGTATCAAATTGATTTATTTCGAAAATAACACTGAGC